TCTAACGGTTAGATTTATAAAATTCATATTTAATATAAAGTTATTGAGCAGTGTAATACTTAGTAAAAGTTACACCGGTGTCGTTTGAACTCTCCTCATATATATATATATTCCCTCCTTTCTGATCAAATAAAAATCTAATACATGTTAATGCAAATAATTGAAATATATATGACATAATACATTAAATTTAGATTGTTTTTTACCGACAAATCAACATTCATAATTCAAATGTGAATGTATACATCAGATATTTAAAACCTTGGTAGTTAAATGAAGCAATTGAAAACAAAAAGCAATAATACAGACTTGCATTTGCATATGATAATTGGCTGTTAACGATTATCCGTTAATTCCGGATCATAAGTCCAAACCCAAAAAGAAATTGCAATTTTAGATTCGAAAATAAGCTTAATAGATGAGGGCCTTAATTGAAAAATTGTATAAAAATAAGATAAGGATTTTTTTAATTTAATCACTAAAAGATTATTATTAATTTCTTTTTATTAGAATTACAATGATTGAAGAGATATTTGAATCTAAAATTCTAAATGTATATTATTGTCAACTCTCATAAGAAGGTTGACTCTAATAGTTCAATAATTGTTAGTAATTAACAATAACCAATTTGATCTTCAATATAATTTTAATATATTATTTTTATCCATAAGAATTATAATGACAATAACAAGCTTCAAACTTAAGAATTCTTGAAATCTTTAGAGGTATCATATCTCCTAACGATGTCACATTCTCATGCAATACTTTTTTTTTATTATTTTGTTTTATTTGGTGGCATTGGAATATGTGATAACATATCTCACTACAATGTCATCCTATTAAAATAATTTACTTTAAATTTTTTTTTTGTAATTACTTTTTTATAATTTATTCAAATTAGAAAATCTTTCATGATCACTACAAAAAATATGCAATTTAGCGACCACCAAAATCGATTGCTAAATTGCAAAAATCAGTCGCTATTTACCTTAGCGACCGAATTAGCAACCGAATTTAATCAGTCTCTAAAATCTTGGTTGCTAAGCTATTTAGCGACGGAAAAATTTTCGGTCGCTATTTAGCGACCGAAAATTTCAGTCGCTAATTCGGTCGCTAAATGGTTGAAATGATTTTGGTCGCTGAAGTGTATGAGACCAAATTAGTGACTGAATAAATCGGTCGCTAAATATTTATTTTTCATTTTATTAAATTTTATAGACATCGCAAATTTGGTCGTTATGAACCATTCATATTTGGCCTCTTAAGGATTTTATTTCACAATACTTAAGTTTTTAGCATGTTTTGTCCTTAATTACACAATTTTTGGAAACTTCCCAAAAGGTCACCCACTCCTATATTACTCTAAGTCAAGCACGTTTAACTATGAAGTTCTTATGAGATAAGCTACCGAAAAGCAAATGCATGTTGTTAGTATAAGTAGTACAAATTAATTCATTTAAGTCATCCTCAACTATCTAATCTCATACTTATATTATTTTTGGATCCTTATCATTTTGGTATATCCGGACCGTTATAAATATATAATAATATATATAATAATTATATTACTAATAATAATTATTATATTATATTTAATTAATCTTTATTTATATATATACTTACTTTTATAATTAACAATCTACTTATTTCTATTTAAAATTAATTTTATGATACAATTTAAATTATTTATTATAAATTTAAAAGTTTAAGTAATAATTTATATATTTTAAAATGAGAA